TATGTATATGTGAATAAAATCTCATAAGCTTCTGAATTGGTCCCTTCATGAAAGATTACCAACTGTTTACACATAACTTGTATATAAAATTTTCTGGGTTACATTTAGGGTATGTGAGCGAGATGACGTGGAGCTGCATGTGGTTCCTCTTGGGCTTTGTGTAAATAAACTGTGGCCTGCGTTTTAGGACATGAGTTACCAGAGAGAAATCTTGAAAGAAATTGTAGAAATTGTGACAGAGGGAAACCTTAGGATTAAAATAATGGCTTCTTAAAATATCAGACATACTGCAAAAATATCTTTTCATTCAAGGTAGTAACTGATATATGAAGGGGCAGAAAAGCTGAAGATTTTTGTCATTTCTTTAGAAATATACTCCTCCACACCAGTGAAGCTGACCTCATATTTGCATTTTGCTCATAGTATCCTGAAAATGCAAACCATTAGTTTAAATGCAGCTCCCTGATTGCTGGCAAGAACCCTGGCATCCAGCGACTTGGCATATTTGCTTGCAATAGTGAGGACATCCCAGGGGCTGTCGGGTGAGCTGAGGTCATTACTGCAGTGCTAGGCTTGACTCACATGGGACTCAGCTGTTGATAGGAAAAAAACAGGGACATGGAATTGTTTTCCTAGAGGCAGATAATGAATTCCCAGGTCAATATAATCTCACAAAACTAGAAGCTTCATCTAATCCCCCCCAAACAAAACAGAACAGAACAAAAAGCAAAGTAAAACACCTTCACTGAGTTTCTGTGTCAAGTATTAGCATTGACAGGAATTTGAAATACGAAGTTTCCCAACTTATGTGTATGTTCTTTTTGTAAGGGTGACTTAGCAAGGAGAATGGCCTTTTGGAGCTTTGCTGCCAGGCAGAGCGGGAAAATTAGGATGAAAAAGGTAGAACCACTACATGTAACCTTATCTATGATTTGTGCAAAGAAGATGTGCTTATTTGAGTATCCAATGGATTCATCAATTTATATTTTTGATGTTGATCCTCTATTTGGGACCGCTGTGCCAAAGACAGTAGCTGGGAAGAAGAGAGCTTTGCCCCCCACCCCTTATTTTTAAGAAGTGGTGAATAAGTAGGCGGAACCACTCTGTGCTCAGACCTGAGGGCAGGCTGCCAGTTTGGCTGAGGCGTTGCAGGGTTTCTGGGAATGGCACCAGGAAGGGGTGACCTAGAAACAGACCTTAAGCACGAGTGAGAGAAGGGTGCAGATGGGCACGTGTCAGGTGAAAGGAACAGCCAGTGAGACCCTCCGTATTTTCATTTCCCCTTCACTTCTTCCTCAGCCAGAAAGCTCAGGGATGCTTAGTTTGTGCAGTGATGTGTACAGCATAATTCCGTTTTCATTGACTTTTAAAATAAGACACAAAAGCACAGCTATGTATGTTGCCTGAAGATCACATGGATACTCCTCATTTAACAACTTACCTGTTTAAGGACAGTTCCGACTCATGATGTGTGCTGTTCAGACTCGAGACCTAAAGCTGGGATTCAAATCCGCTTATAATCCCAGCACTCGGGGTGCTGAAGCAAGAGGATCACTGTGAGTTCAAGGCCAGCCTGAACTGTGTAGTAAGACAAAAACTAAATAAATAAAATAAAAATATCCTTAGCAAAAAAAAAAATCAAAAGTACTATAGATTCTTCAAGTAGAAGGGTCATATGTAGAGAGAAGCTCTGTGAAGTCCTTCAGAATGACGATCAGGAACTCTCATCAGTGTGTGTCACAGAACAGCAAACTGTCTTAACTGCTCATGTACAGATGGAAAACAGATAATTGTGTTATGGAAAAGGCCCACAGCAGTGTATGTGTCTTGTCTGTAGTAGAATTTCTCTTTGGCCTTCAGTACAACACGACATCTGTCTTTGGTTGCTGCAGATCCACACTGGTACGGATCACCTGTGTACTCTCCCCAAAGAATGTTTGTCAGGTTTGTTACAGTGAACATATGTTCAAAATTGGACTGATGTAACCTGCAATAGTTTCTGTTGCTTTGCATATACTGTGTCTCATTTCCAGAGAAGTATCAGTTTCCACTGCAGTGAGATCAGGTAAAGAATTTGGGGAAATACATAATTTATCCCATTGGAATAAAGGCCTGTAGTAGTCTATTTCACCAACTTCAGGAAGTAATCAACAGAATTTTCTAAGCAGTGTCAAACCACTGAGACCTTGCCAAGGAAACAGGGTTGCACAGCACTGTGCCCCTCCTTGTTGCAGTCTTCTGGAGGCCCCAGGACAGCCTTACATTTTAGCTCCCGGATCGCGGTCACTGCCTTCAGCACCCTTGCTCATCACCGTCCGCTGTGATTTCAGAGTCTGTGTGGGTGATCCTCTTGAATCTCAAACCTCCACTCCTCCAATGCACTTGTGCACCGTTGTTGCTCAGCTTCTCACTTCCATTGTTACTTTATCCCTGCCTCCTTCACATCTGGGTTTACTGTTGTCACCCCTGATTCCTGTCCTTGACTGTTTGGACTGCACAGTCCTCCCTCCTTATGATCAGTCTCTCAGCTATATCCTCAAGTCTCTTCGTCCTCTCTTCTTTCCCATCCTTACTTGGCAACCTTCCGTGCCAGCTCCCATGTCCCACTGCTTAAACATAACTCCGCCTGCTCTGCACTTCCACCTGTGCAGCTCAGCATGGTTGGAGAGAGGAGTGGGGAGCAGCCAACAAGAACAAAGGCCATCACCATGTCAGAGCTCTCAGTTTCAACTCATTTACTTCAGGTGGCCCTCAGTGCTCGAGAGAATTTTTCTAATCTCTTTACACACTTTCTCCTTTATTCCCAAACTCCCAGTAGCTCTTCTCCCATTTGCACTCACTGCTGATAACCTTGTTTCCTATTTCACCAGGAAAACAAAAGCAACCAGAAAAAAAAAAAAATCCATATGCTCTCACCACAATACACACTGACCTGCCTCCATCTGCCTTCCTTCCTCTCTGGGCCCCCCTGGGCAGAACCTCCTTCCTCCTACCACAGCCAAATTCCCCTCCGTCTGTGCCTTAGATCCACCCACTTCCTGTTCAAGGACACCTCCTGCCATTCTGCCTCTCCCACTCCATCAACTCTGGTCCTCTCCACAAACATACTACCATTGGTACATACAGCCTCTTGGGAAAACCCTGTGTGACCCCCGCCTTGCCTTCTGGCTGCCCTCATATTTTCCTATTCATCTTTGCAACAAAACTCCCTGAAAGACTAGACTGTATTCATTACCACCCATTTTTCACACTTCATTTCCTCCTGATCCTTCTTTTATCAGACTTGGTCCCTACTGTGCCACCAAAACAGCTTGGACAGAGTTCACGGTCTCCTCTGTAGGACTAAACCCAGTGGTCTTTTCACACCTTCACCTCCCTCTTCCCAACAGCCCTTGATCTAGCTGACCCTCCTCCTCAGCAACCTTACTTGGCTTCTGTGTTGTATGTATGTATTTTTTAACCACTGGACTGGCCATGTCATACATAAATTTTTACTGAGTGAAATCTTTACGCCATTCAGTGAAGACCTCTCCAGTTGAAAGGGAAAACAAATGCGATCAAGACCAAACACCTTGAAGAAATCAAAAGGTGGTATGAACTGGGAAAGAGTGGGACTTTTGTAACCTGAGAATCCTCACCAATGCTTTTGTAGGCATGTTTTCCCCTACTCATTCAGAAACAGCAAGAGTCTGAAGAATTTTATATGGGGAGCTGGACATAGTGATACATACCTATCATTCCAGCACTCTGAGAGGTTGAAGCAGATCCTGTCAGAAAGAAAGAAAGAAACAAAAAAGAAAGAGAGAAAGAGAGAAAGAGAGAAAGAAAGAAAGAAAGAAAGAAAGAAAGAAAGAAAGAGAAAAAAGAAAGAGAGAAAGAGAGAAAGAAAGAAAGAAAGAAAAGAAAGAAAGGAAAGAAAGAACAAAGGAAGAAAGAAAGGAAGGGAAAAGAAAGGAAGGAAGGAAAAGAAAGAAAAAGAAAAAAAGCTGGGTGCTTTTCAGTGTGAAGATTGTGGGTTTAATCCACAGTACTCAAAGAAAGGGAAAAGGAGAGAGGGAATTATATAGGGAAAATTATGGTGGAGAAATAGGAAGAAAAGGTCCAAAGGGGAAGTGGGAGGGACTGGGGAAAGGAAAGAAGAGAATGGAATTAATATGAGAAAATGAAAAACTAGAAAGTCTTTGTAAATAGAGAGGTGTGGAGATATTAGAAGGAGGGCAGGAGAATGGGGAAAACATAAGAACCAAGATGGATTAGGTAAAGGTGCAAATGTCCAATGATGAACGTCATTATATCATATACCTTAAATGTACCAATAAAATTAACTTTAAACAAAAACAAAAACCTCTGACTTGAAATGATTTAACAAAAATTACTGTTAATTTAATAAATACATATTTTGGTCCAGATCTTTCAAGACTCAAGTTATCTGTAAATTAACTGTTCAACTGCCAAATAAGCCTTTAATTTTTTACTTCATGGAAACATTTTATATATTGAGAGTATCCCTTTATATTTTTGTGAGAAATTACATTTCAGATGTTTTGTTGCCAAGTAATATGTCTGGGTGTCATGGTGTTTTACAGCATGAAACTATGTACTGTGGTCTAGCAAGGACCATTATTTATCACTTAATAAGACCAGTTCAACCATTTTGCAACTTGAAGAAAATAAACTCTTTAACGAATTAGACTGTGTAACCTAGAGAATAGTAGAATTCGTCAAAAGAGATTAAGTACTTATATTTATTAGGAATGCCATATGCTGCAAAACTTTCCTTGGCATAGTTCAAATTTGAGAAAGGAAAATGTCTTGGGTATTTTCTTCCTCTCTCCCTCCCTTTTCTTATGGTGCCCATAGCCTTAGGATTGATATATTAGTCCTCTGTCACTCAGCCGTATCCTCAGCCTCTTCTATTTTTTATGTGATCATTTTAAAGCCTGGCTAGCTGTGAAGGCCTCAGACATTGTTTCCGATTTGGCTCTTTTTTCTTTTTGCAGGTTCCTGAGGGAAAAGTAGTTGTCCTTAATTTCCGATTCATAGACCTTGAGAGTGACAATTTGTGTCGCTATGACTTTGTGGATGTGTACAATGGCCACAGCAACGGCCAGCGCATCGGGCGATTCTGCGGCACATTCCGACCTGGAGCCCTGGTGTCCAGTGGGAACAAGATGATGGTGAAGATGATTTCTGACGCCAATACAGCAGGGAATGGCTTCATGGCCATGTTCTCTGCCTCTGAACCAAACGAAAGAGGTACTGTTTCCTTGTAACAACAACAGTAATGATGGCTTCGGCGATTGAACGCTACTCTGTGTCAGACACAGTTTTTGGCACTTTCTGTACATTTACCCCTGTAATGTAAAGCTTAAGAGCAATTCTTCTTAGACAGAGTGTTAAGGAATGCCACTAAACCGCCAAGAGACTGTTAAAAAAGATCAATCTTTTACAATCTTTCACATTCCTATAAAAACTCAAATATAGAAATTCACGGATAAAAGTGTGATATATTGATAGATAGATATACGTGAATATGGAAACACTCCTTTACCTACTGTAGTCTCCTCTCCAGCAGTAGCTGTGGCCAATAATTTCTATATCTATATGCATGCTTATTTATATTTATGTATTTTTATAGTATCTTTTATAATGTAAGTTCAATCATATATTAATATTATTTTGCAACTTTTTCTTTTTTACATAATGCTGTCTGGGGTATTTTCATGTTAGCATATGTGAGCTCCTTATGGCAGTGATCTTGAAAAATAATGCAGCAAGCAAGACGTGTGAGTTTTCATCCTTTTGATGTAGGGGAAAGAGATGTAACTCCCAAATCTGCTAGGCATCTGAAACACAAGTTTGTGTTCTCTAAAATCAAGGAATGAATTTTAGGAACAGACGTTGACTAGGAAAAATTTATTGAGAGCAAGATAGCTTTTATCTAAGAGAGACAGAAGGGGGACTGGAAAGTGGGTTGCCCACCCACCCTGCTTTTCAAAGGTATTTTATACAGCAAAGCCAGGTGGTGAGGTGGGTACAATGTGGGACAAAACTATAAGACCCAGTGGAAATTCACCAGGTGGGTATGAAGTGGGACAAAAACCACAAGGGCCCTGGATTAAGCTCAGTGGAGCCACTGCCTGCTTTGCAAAAAAAAAAAAAAAAAAAAA